AAGATTAGAAAATATTATCATTGTTTTTCCAAAGAGCAATGATTCGATGTGTACATTTTTGTAATGCAGCATGGTACTCAATCTGCTAAGACCACTGTGGGAAATAGAGCTAGCTCTATGGTTTGTGCCAGCCATGTCTTCTTTGGCAATCAATCACCTTGTCCCTTTAGCCCTCGCAACAACACGTGCTTCAGGTCTCCACTTACCAGCTACCATTTTTTTTTTTGCAGTCGTGGAATTGGGGCACGATCGAGGTCAATCATTTTCACATGGGGGCTCACAAATTGGGTGTTCCACATGCAAACGCGTTCCATGCACCAACTGACGTTCAGCAAAATAATGGAATCCTTTTCAATTTTAAGAACATACCTTTACATCATGTACATGATGTATAGGCTACAACGGTCTACAATCGAGCCGCAACTTCCGAGATCTTTTCGAGCTTGTCTTAAGTGGCCTTGTCAATTGTATAGTGCACAAACAGAACAGACATTCGCTATTTAACCCAATTGGTTACATTATTCTTTAACTAATGAATAATAAATTATTCACCGGTGTGCACAGTCTTTTTAAAATCATTTTGGGTACTTAAACATCGGAGTTATCAAAGGAAAATATTGAATAATGTATAAATAAAAACACACTAAAATTTTCCAATAGGAGTACAACCGCAACAGTTACCTATGTACCGACAACCTAAACAAAGCTTAGTCTGCCCATGACGCCGGCAGCCTCCGTCGCCCAGAAATCACAGCATATTTAAGTTGAAGAAAGTGGGGTTTTTTTTGGGGGGGGGGGGGGGGGTTGGCTGGGATATTTTCACCCACTTACTTTGATAATATAAAAAAAACTCTGCACCGATAGCAAAAGTCCATGCAAGGTTGATCACCGATCGTGAAAGACCATCACCCATGGGCGTCACAAGGGGGGGAGCACGGGGGCGCTTCCCCCCCCCCCCCCCGGAAAAGCCCCCCCCCCCCAAAAAAAAAAAAAAAAGATGGGGGAAGAAGACAGAAAAAGGGGTGCGAAGTAATATTGTTTGAAAAATGCCCACCCTCAAAAAATGATAAATCGTGAATATGCTGGAAAAATCCAGGTATTTCGGGGAGAAAAATGTTTTGCCCCTCTGCAAAAAAATTCTGGCGACGCACAAATCGTTGTGTTTTATAGCCACATTACCAATGATAGGGAAAACCGGTCGATTATCAATTGTTATGGTTATATTAATAACGGCAACACCAAACTGTAGTGGGCAACAGCGGAGACTCAAAGCCACGACATACACAATATGCTTGACAATAAATGAAATACATGAACATGAGATATGTGGCAATAATAGCAACAAATGAAAATTATACTTGAATTACAAAAAAATAACTTCCCACATCATAGCCTCGTGACACTTGAGAGCGCTACGGCAAGTATCAAATTAGCCTAACAAAATAGAAAAACAAGGGATTGAATGGTTTAATTTGCCCCATAAATATGAGGAGCAGGCTGTCTGTATCCTAAAAATTGCGAACATTTTAATCCTTGTAATGGATATAGTCTCTCGAAACCTTGGAGCACTATAACTGGCGGATGTAAGGGGTAGTGGTGGAAAAACATTTGCAAGGAAAGTTCCTCTGTGTACTGTCCATCATGTGCTCGCTTAAGTGTGCTTAAGTGACCAGAGGCCCCACATATCTATACCAAGATTGGCTATTAGATGGATTTATGATGATGATGATGATGTGATTGCATTCCTGTGCCCCCTGAATGCCTGCTCAGACCCCTCAATAACCCCGCCATTTATGCTGTCTCCAATGACCCACACATCAATCATCATATTATTCAAAAAAAAAAATTTATCACGTATTGGTAAAAAAAAATACTCGGACTCAAATTTCAGGACATGAGAAACACAATGCTGAGATGATTGGTAAAGCTAATAGAAAATTATTCATGTTCAGGAAACTGAAAGAAACTGGTTTTACTCAAAGAACTTGTTACCCTATGTTAGACCAGTCCTAGCAAACGCATCGCCGGTTTGGCACTCGAGCATTACACTCAAACAGACCAATCTAATTTAGTCGATCCAAAAGAGTTTGCCGTATTACTCTATCTCTGGATCACCTTTATGATAGAAGAACCACTATGTGTATAAACTTTGCTCTAGGTGCTTTTAAATCAGGCAAATTTAATGAGTGGTTCCCTCAATCAAAAAGTTGGCACACTATGAATCTTAGATCGAGTAGAACACTCAAGGAGTATCCCAGTTCATCCAAGAGATTTCGAAATAGCCCAGACTCATCAATAGTTCAACATAGGATTTTCAAATGTATACAATTTTAATTGCTATTATCCGAGTGTATATGTTTTTGAGAATAATGGATTGTTGTGTATTTTGTATGTGTTTCGATTTCTCGTGAAATGTGTTATTTTTAATTCATTTCAAATTTTACTGTAAATCACTGTGCAATTCAGCTTCTGAGCTGCTTGATGGTGATAATCAACCCAAATAATAATAATGTTAATAATAATGATGAAAAATAATAACTTATAATAACCCATAATTGGCTATTTGGGGAACATTCCCATAAACTACATTTTCCCCACAACTTTAATGACCCGTAACTCCAATTTTACCTTAATTCGCCGGGTAATTACTAATTCGACCACGAGCAATCGAGTCTATTTGCGACGATAATATTTTGCCTCTTAGTGTGTGACGCTAAAGTGTCTCCCGAAGGGTATAGGCCTATTATAAAACAAATCATTCTGTTCATGCCACATCCACAGAGGAGTGTTTTATTTCGGATACCTGTGATATGGCATATACCGTTTGAATTGTTAATTGTTATGGTTATGTTAATATGGGCAACACCAAAGGCCCAAATCCACAGCGGCATACACTAACTGCAAACATTTCACGGACATTACAAAAAATGGAGTTCGCAAGTGAGAACGGACATGTTATAAAACATATAACCGTATTAACACAATTGAGGGGCAACACCAGGCCCGACCAGTAGTGGGCAACACAAGAAACTCAAAGCCACGGCATACACAATATGCTTGACAATAAATGAAATACATGTAGGCCTATATGAAAATGAGATATATGTGGCAATAAATGACAACAAATGCAAATTAAACTTGAATAACAAAAAAATAGCTTCCCACAGATGTACATTCAGTCAGGAAAACATTATAGCCTCGTGACACAGTGAGATCGCTACGGCAAGTATCAAATTAGCCTAACAAAATAGAAAAACAAGGGATTGAATGGTTCCATTTGCCCCATATATGAGGAGCAGGCTGTCTGTATCCTAAAAATTGCGAACATTTTAATCCTTGTAATTTGTATAGTCTCTTGAAACCTTGGAGCACTATAACTGGCGGACGTAAGGGGTGGTGGTGGAAAAACATTTGCGAGGAAAGTTCCTCTGTGTACTGTCCATCATGTGCTCGCTTAAGTGTGCTTAAGTGACCAGAGGGCCCCACATATCTGTACCAACATTGGCTATTAGATGGATTTATGATGATGATGATGATGATGTGATTGCATTCCTGTGCCCCCTAGATGCCTGGTCAGGCCCCCAATAACCCCGCCATATGCTGTCTCCGATGGCCCACCCATCAATCATCAGGTGCAAAAACCTTTTTACCATTTATTGGATAAAAACAAATCATTGTGTTTATGCCACATCCACAGAGGAGTGTTTTTATTCCGGATACCATCGATTGGGCATTTACCGGTTGCAATATGGGCAGCACCAAAGCCCAAAGCCACAGCGGCATACACCACCAACAAACATTTTACGCACATTAATTTAAAAAAAAATGCAGTTCACATATGAGAAAGACACTTTCAACACAAAAACACCGTAAACAAATATCACCGTCAGGGGTAACACGAGAAACCCTAAGCCACAGCGGCATGCACGTTCAATAACTGATGCACTTTGGCGATCGATGATGGATTTTGCAATCGGTGATGGGTCGTTGATCATCGGTCGCAAAAGTCCATCACCAATTGCAAAAGTCCATCACCGATTGCAAAGTTGATCACCGGTCGCGAAAGTCCATCACCGATCGTGAAAATGCATCACCAGTAAAAATCCATCACCGATCGCGTAAGCCATTACCGATCGTGAATATGCATCCCCAGTGAAAGTCCATCACCGATCGCGAAAGTCCATCACCGATCGTGGATATGCATCACCAGTAAAAGTCCATCACCGATTGCGAAAGTCCATCACCGATCGTGAATATGCATCACCAGTGAAAGTCCATCACCGATTGCGAAAGTCCATCACCGATCGTGAATATGCATCACCAGTAAAAGTCCATCACCGATCGCGAAAGTCCATCACCGATCGTGAATATGCATCACCGATTGCAAAAGTGTATCACCGATTCGATGATCACATTAAATGCCTCTTTGGCGTTCCATACAGTGGTACTCGACGGTTGCCGTTCCAGTACCGCACTGTGATGCGAGTGAACCTCTTCTTAATGCATGAAACAGTCACGGGTATTACGCTTCCGCGCACGTCATGCACCGACCGCAAAAACGCGTAGTACCAGCGAGCTGTACGTGGATGGTAATCGACCGCCGCTATTCATTGTACACAATTTTTTTTTAGTGCACAAACCAATAGCAGTCCTGGCCAATCCAGCAAGGTTGTCAAGTTAGCGGTTATTCCTCCTGTTTTCACTGCAATTGTAGGCTGAATCTTCATCGTGGATCGTTTTTTACTTCAAGGACCTGTGTAATGGTTATTCCAGGCAAGTTTGGGGTGAGTTGCAGTTGCAATTAGTGTGTAACGGGGACAAAATTGAACATTTTCCAAATTTTTTTGAATATACTACTAGTTACGAGAAAAATACGCTCCAGCCCTAAAACTCAGGGCTGGGTAACTCCAGCTACTCTCTGGGGTACAAGATAAGCCAAAAAAAATGTCTTTCTGTTTCGAAAGTAGTGTCAGGTTGCAACATTTTTCCATAATACCTACTTTTTGCAGACTGCCAGAAAGCACCGAGTATCAAGGTCTCCAACAGCCATGCAAGGGAAATTGTCTTCATCACGCCCGTGAACATGGCGAACACGTTTAACACGCAGGTTTTTTTCTACTTTTGTTCTCAATTATTTTGGTGGCCTCAGGCTCAGAAGTCAGATGCAAGCGCCTTTCGAAGGAGACAGACTAGATTCTAGAATAACCATCGGTATTTGATAACATCATGGAAGTATAAAACGGAGGAGCAGCTAGGGCGTGGAGCGAGTTGATCTATGACTCACTATCATCAATGTCGTTCATGTTAATGAGTTACTTTTTCGTTAAAAAGTAACTAATTAAATAAAAGCATGCGTGCGGTACCAGGTGCGTGCACAGTTGCACTGGTACAGTGTGGTACACATAGGACCGCAAGTAATGATGTGCAAACCGTCCGCAAGTGCCTGATATCTATGGGCGGTCAAAAGGACCAAAATTAATAAGGGAATAAATGTGTGCTCGAGAGGTTTTTATCACTCTGTTTAATACCGCTTAGAGTCTGGGTGCTGATAATTACCCGAGCCGGAGGCGAGGGTAATTATCAGCACCCAGACTCTAAGCGGTATTAAACAAATGATAAATACCGACCGAGCACATATTTATTCCCATTCATAAATACCTTATCCGTAAAAAAAATCAAATAATTCGTTCAAAAAATCCCGATTTTGTTCAACAAGTTCACTTCATGCTTTTTGAAACATCCCTCTAGCAAAATAATGGAGTGTTCAGCTGGCGAGTAAGATGTAAACAACCCTTTTATGGAGATTGACGCGCGCGTAGCATGTTCCGCGCGATGTCACGCAGAACGCACCTGGGGCGTTGCGTTTTGAATTTAGAACTATAAAATTCTGGCTCGCATGTAGTGTTGCGCATGCCTACGTGAGGATTGTGAACGTTCAACCAATGAAACGGTAAGAGGCACTGGATTTTTAGGAGTCCACATTTTATTGTGACACTGGAAAAGTGTTTAAGACCAGCTAGCCATGTCTTTATCATCCGTTTAAGACCGGCCACTTGACGGGCTCTCGACCAATAGGAATAGCTAAACTGTCTGAGGTATTTATGAATAATTTTTAAAAATGAAATATAATTCAAACGAACAACAAACACAACGTAACAAGAAACAATAAACAAATCTTACATCGAAGGATCGAAACAAAACATTGTCCTCAAGAGGTTAGTAAAACAAGAGTGTTTATTCGTGCACCGTAAAACTTTAACTGTAAAAATTACAGTAATTTACTGGCAGCTGAGTTCCCAGCCGTTTACTGTAAATTTTACAGTAAATATTATCATACTGTATTTAAATAAAATAGTAAATTACTGTATTTTTTACAACAAGAGCAGTGCTACTGTAAAATGATCACGGTAAAGTACAGTATAATTTTACAGAAAATATTATCATACTGTTTTTAAATAAAATAGTAAATTATTGTATTTTTTACAACAAGAGCAGTGCTACTGTAAAATGATTACTGTAAAGTACTGTATAATTTATACAGTAGTGGTGATCATACTGTTAAGTAATTAACAGTAATTTACAGCTAACTTTACAGTAATCTTGAAAGTTTACAGTAGGGCCTACTGATCCAGTAAAAAATTTACAAAAATTGCACACAGATGACAACTGTTCCTCGTTTGAAACTTTTATTCTCTTTATTGCGTGAAATTTGAACAATGATAACTAATAATACGAGAAAGATTTTTTATTATGTTCAAATAATTCAAATATTTAGTTAAGAACAAATGTTGAAACACAATTAGACATCTTTCTATTCTTCAATTGAATTGATTGTTCAAAATCATTTGTTATTCCAAGGGTTTTTAACTAATAAACCACATCTTGTTCTTTTTCAGAACAATTGTACAGATGTTAAGAAAAGGTTTACACATTCCACAAAATTGTGTATACAGAACATTATTGCCTGTGGTGACCTTAGTACTGGACAAGGCCATTCTAAGTGTTACAACAATTTTCTGTGATTATATTTATGTTATCATTTGTTTTATTAATTTAATGAGTGGATATACATGTACTAGCACATTTTCTAGATAGCTGTGGGTTTATCCGTGGATGGTTTTTATTTGGCGTGTCGCATCTGAAGGCTTATCTCTTTGGAGATCACACAGAAATAGTAATTACACATTTAAATATATTTTTCAAGGTAAAATCAGGCCTGGGTAATAGATCTTGTACCTTTAAGTGACTCGTTTTGGTAAACTTTGGATTCACATGGAGTAAAACTTTTTGAACTCTTGATACTCTCATCAAAGTTTATCTGTGGCATTCGTCATTCTTTAGATCTTTCAACAATATAATCACTTCCACTTATAGTCTACACGTTTGCAAACAAAATGTTGCAACATGGCAATTGATCTTTTCTCTCTTCCTCTGAACGTCCTGACCTGTGCGTTTGATTTCCCCTCTTCTTGTGCATTTGGTCCCACATTCCAGATTCTCATGAAGCATCTGTAAGGCAATATACATGTAATTTTGTTATAAGGTACCAGTGTTGAAAAGTGCAATTGAAATATTGGGGTGAACCATTTGTTGAAGTTTGGTTCTTGTCATATTTCCCAAGGTATGCAACCTTGGGAAATATGACTAGAACCAAACTCCACTGTTTGACTTGACTATAGGCTTCATCAGGGGACCCCCCCCCCCCCCCCCCCTCAGTGTGACCCAGGGATTTGCTAAAAATGACAAAATCCACAGGTTAGAATTTAAGTCATGTACAACCTTTTCCAGTCAGTGTGATATGAACTATTTTGTTCAACTAACTAGAGTAGCTAGTTTCAGTAGTGATGGGGGGGGGCACTCAAGATAGGGGCTCTACGATTTTCGGCGTGGCATTTCGGCTATTGTATAAGGTGTTTCTCGGGGGAACTAAATAGTGGGGATGGGAGGGAATACGCCCCCTTCACTCTTGAGTACATGTACTTCATACATCAGTGAATAGACAACAATGAGTAAATGCTCTGATTTGAGTAGGAACAGCATTCGATATAGATCACAACATAATTACCTCTGTACGAATTCTAACGTGGCGGGTTCTACTTGGTACTCCGAATTGAGAACATGAATAGCAGGACAGGAAGGCTAGACCTGTCTGTAGAGACACTATTATAACGACTCTGCCTTCCGTAGAAAACATCCACTTGTGTGCAGTCAAAATGGAAGTCACTGGAAAAGATAAATTAAACCATAGAGCAAGGACAAGTCCTTGCTCTATGATTAAACAAATCAATAATAAATTGGATCTTGAGATATTTACAATTTCTGAACAACTGATCAAGAGATGGAGGAGAATTTCTTTCTTGTTTCTTTAACAAAGCCCAGAACAACCGAGGTGTAGACGATATAAAAATGCATACTCGGTCGTATATGTATCGCTATCGGAATGTGGATTAACTGACAACATCAGTTGGTCTGGAAACTTATTTTAAAACATCTTATTCTTAAACACAAAAGGTCCTAGAATGCGAGGAAATGAAGTGGAATTAATAAGGAACTTGAAAATGTCAAGTCTTCAAACAAAATTGAATATGAAATAACCATGGGAACGACAGCAAGGAGATTATTAATTCGCTTCTTATCGGCCAATATCATGATGACTTTGAAGCCATGTTTGCGAAGGGGAAGAAAACTTTACAAATCAATAAAAATGCATTGGGAAAAGTAAAAAGAAAATAAACAAACAAGACTCACCTATGAAAGGGGGTCCACCATTCCTACGTATATATGCAGAGGAACCAGATGATCTTTACAAGAAACTGAATATTGTAGCTCAATTTATAATGATGGAACGAAGCATGCAGCATAGCAGGCAGCAGCCCTGCTTGGTGCTGACTTGTTTGGGAATGGTGATGTGGCAATGGGCAGAACTGACCAATACATGTACACTCTAGCCACCCGATCCCGCCAAAGTGTAACGGTCGCAACGTGGCACTCCCAGGGGAAAACCGGGGCACAGCCAGCACGACCACAGCAAGGCCGAACGGGTTCAAGGAGAAACTTCTGCTGGGGCAGTCAACTTAATTACCCCACTATACTATAGCCAACAACAGGATACATGCATAAACGAAATTATTGAACATTGAAAATCATATAGGGCCTATATACTAGACTTCATACGAATACAATACCTTAAAAATAAATAAAGGGAAGCAACAGAAAAAAATTAAACTAAACTAAGTGGGAAAATTTGAAGTGATCCGATACAAAAAATGTTGGGCCTGTATGTACATGTAGAGATTGAAGCAAACATTTATCTTGCACGGATTATACTACCAACATGTACACATTCAGGGAACAGAATAACCAACACTTCAGATGTGCAAAAAAACCAAGATAGCACGCGCAAGACGATAGCAGCCTAAAATAATTATGGGCATGTTGTCTACGTAATTAAGTTTACAGTATCACTCTAAAAATTAATTTGTCATTTTGACTAAAAAAAAATTGTCCAGTGATATGTCTCGTACGACTTACCTAAATTAGTCACAGAGTATTGATGACTAATGACTATAGATTAGTCAAGAGTCAGACTCAGACTAGAAATTATAGTCATATGACAAGAATAGAAACCTGCTTGATACGACTAATCTGTAGTCAAGCGACTTGCACGATTTGTAACTGAATTTCTGACTAATCACACTTAAGTCCAGACAATATCCATTGAATTAGCACTTTTTTGTGTCCGTTCTAGTGTCCTTAATGGTACACCATAATCACAATGGGGTCACAGCTGACTTGTATCTCACTCGTTGTGCAATTGGATCACAGGGCCAGTGTTTAGCTCCTTGCATCTACCACTGCATGATCATGCTCACACCTGCAAAAGAAACACACAGAGAAAATCTTTCTTTTTTTGTTGCATATTATTTATTTTTCTCCTCGTTTTTTTTTTACTCAAAATGTAATGTCCATATTTCAAAATTAACAAAATCGTGAAATGTTCTTAATCATGCAATAGTTCCCCTCCTATCTTTGGTATATTTAATTTAGGAATTGGTACATGAATTGTTTGGCACAACAGACTCACTAGTGTGTTGCAAAGAAATTGCACAACGACATGGCTTATACGTATCTATTAGGCCTACCGCATACGGTTTTGCAGCATAAAGATGTGCCTAAGTACAAGCATAAAATTGTGTAAGAGTCTCACTCGGTATCTATAGGCTACAGCTTATTCTTACTAATTCAACCTACTTCCCTCACAACCGTACTCTCATTTCATAACTCATGTCCAATTAACAACTCCATACGAAATCATAGTTTGCCTACCTTCGTCATGGTTGAAATGGAGGAAGGAAGATGTCCGTTTAATGGCTGCCTGACAAACTGAGTGTAACATATCCGTATTCACGTACGCCTAACAAAACATCATCGATGAGTCCCGCTTCTTTTAAACACATCAACGGCGGGAAAATAACAAACTTCATTAGTCAGAAGGAATATATGACTAATTTTGACAAGTATTCGATCTTTCTTCAGAGACATTGACTGCGCGTCATTTGTCAAAACCACCACTGATGGCTAATTTAGGTTAGTCAATGACTTTCTTATTCACGTAACTAATGTACATTAGTCAAAATGACAACTTATTTTAGTCATCACTGACGGCAAATTAGTCTTCCATAACAGATAATTAGTCATTCAGAAATTACTAAACAAAGTTATTCATTTTGACAAACAAAGAGGCCTCAATGACGAATTAATTTTTAGAGTTATACTGTCAAAATATTTAACAGTAAATTACTGTGAAAATTACTGTATACTTGTAATTTTTACAGTATTTTACAGCTAAACCAACGGCTCCCAACAAGGCACTGTACTTTACAGTAAATTACTGTGAAACAAATATACAGCATGTTACTGTAGGAAATTACAGTAAGATACTGTCCAAATTACAGAAAAGTTTTACAGTGTGTACGTGTGTCGTTTAGTTGCTTTTTAACGAAAAAGTTACTCAGTAACTCGAATGCGATTGTGACTGGCGACGGTGATGAGTCATTTTGTACTGGGAATGTTGCAACCGGACGCCATTTCAGTTGTGCATATTAGTCTGGAGAGTCACTGTAGGCTTATGCATTTCCTATGATTCCTGTTTTGGTTTTTAAATGTGTTGCTTTTGCTAATCAATAAAACATGGAAAGAAAAAATTGAAATGTTTCTCAGTCCCGGATTCATGTCTTATAAATCTTCCCATGGTCAATCCCCAAGTTACATCACTGATAGCCTCACCCTGTACAACTTGAATGGATCTGAAGATCGCAGGAGACTCCGCTCTTCTTCTGATGTCACCCGACTGGTTGTTCCTCGTTCCAACAAGAAGGCGGGTGACAATTCACTCTCTGTTGTTGCCCCTAAATTGTGGAATCAACTACCGGTTGACATCAGGGAAGCTGCGTCTACAGCGATCTTCAAGCGCCTACTCAAAACACACTTATTTCCCGATGTATAATAGTTGTTTGTTTTTTTGTTTGTTTTTGGATATGATTTCTTTGTAATTTTCAGTTAAACTGTTTAAGCTCTTTGTTGTGAGGCGCTGTGATCGTTGTAGAGCGCCATATAAATGCTTGGTATTCTTATTATTTATTATTACCATTTTTCAATGAATGACCATGACCTTCATTGAGATGATAAGGAAAAAGTGGCGTCCCAACCGCGGTTGCAACATTCTTCTCCTTCCGCGAATATAATTGTTCATGTCAGAATTCGAAATACCGATGGTTATTCTAGAATCCAGGGGCGGCGGAACCGGGGGGGGGGGGGGGGGGCAGGGGAGGGGGATTACCCAAGTGCATGCCCCTCTTGTTGTGCCTCCTCTAGCATAAATGTTTGTTTTTTGTTTGGATATGATTTCTTTGTAATTTTCAGTAACTGTTTAAGCTCTTTGTTGTGAGGCGCTGTGATCGTTGTAGAGCGCCATTTAAATGCTTGGTATTATTATTATTTATTATTACCATTTTTCAATGAATGACCATGACCTTCATTGAGATGATAAGGGGTCATTCCATGTCAGACCAACGCACTTTTTTACCTCATGTCTTCCGATTTTGATAAAAATTGCTGTGCTTGTAGGTCCTGATGAGCAATGAATGCACACCAATTTTTAGCCCGATCCGACCTACCATGTGGTCAGGGCAGAAACCACAAAAAACTGACATTTTTAGAGTAAAATACCACCCTTTTGGTATAAATATGTCAAAACTATGGCAATTTTCATCGAATATATGTGAATTTGGTATTAAAATAATGAGGATTGCATGCTCAAAGCACTTCTTTTGTCAAAATTAAAGTTTGTGAAAAGTAGGTCAAATGACCTTTCATATGCTATCGTGACCTTTGACCCATTTTTTGTAATAATGTATCATTCCGAAAATCAACGAAATAAAAATAACTTGCTAGAGCATGTCTTCCTCTATTAGAATCTACTAAAAATCAGTTGCGGTCTTCAAAATTTACAACTTTATGACTATTTTTGTACAGTTGGTAGGTTACAAATGAGTCAATTTATAGACTTTACATAAGAAATACACCAACACAACTTACTATTAGGGGCGTGGCAACCATATAGGAAAAAAAGGGCGGGGTTTTCATTATGCCCACCCTGGAAATATTGTTCCCACACTCATAGAGAAATGGAACTTTCCACAAACATTGACATTCATGAGAAAACAAATTCCAGATGTGGAGCCATCTCGAACACACCCTTTTAGGGGCGTGGCAACCATATCAGAAAAAGGGGGGCGGGGTTTTCATTATGCCCACCCTGGAAATATTGTTCCCACATTCATAGAGAAATGGAACTTTTCACAGACATTGACATTCATGATAAAAACAATTCAAGATGTAGAGCCATCGCAAACACACCCTTTTAGGGGCGTGGCAGCCATATTAAAAAAAGGGGGGCGGGGTTCTCATTATGCCCAACATGGGAAAAATGTGCCCACATCTCATAAACGAATGAAGCTAATTTCCACAGAAATTTTAAATACTCACGAGATAAAAATCACACGTGGAGCCATCGTAAACACACCCTTTTAGGGGCGTGGCAGCCATAATAAAATGGGGGGGGGTAGTCATGATGCCCCTATAAAAGAAAGTTCTTATGTAGAGCCACAGAAAACTCATGCTTTTAGAGGTGTGAGGGGCCTACTCACTGTGCCCACAATTGCATTTTTATATTTTGTTGTTGATTTCTTATAATGTTGATTGGCCCATAACCTATATTATTTGGTAATACAATGACTTACCCCAAAGAGCATGGGTAAGTACCGGTAGGCTAACCCGTGTTATATTGTTCAATGTGTGTACTTGCACCTATATTATCATTCACATCTAAATTCCAGAGTGATTTCATAATTACAAATACACAGCACACAATGGCAGCCCTAAACTCTAACATTTAACATTAAAGGGCCATGGAAATCCTTTTTTACGGGGGGCGGGGGGGGGGAGTGTAAAATCCCCCTACCTCTTACCTGTTGCGCCGCATTGACAGCAGATTGGGTAACAACACGATGTACTCGCCTCACAAAGTGGTGGACACGTCAACTATGACTTCACATTCAATGAATCTGTGTACCCCCACCACACAACACCTCTGTTCTCTTTAAAATGGTATATCAAGCTCTTATGAGTGTTTTTTTTTACCCCGACCAAATCCATTAAAAAAAATGTGTTTTGAATGGGTAAAGAGAAAAAGCAGGAATCTTGCAGTTGAACTGGAAAGAATAGGTGTGTCACGTCTTCGTCTTGAGTTGAGATTCTTGCTTTGGGAAATGGTTGAAGCATGCACTGGAGCATGCTTGGAGCATGGTTGGAGCTGGTCATGTGATGTGGGTGTCATCGGGAGTCCTGTGTAAAGGAGTTAGAAAGAAAAGAATAACGACTAAGGTGAAGAAACTTGTAAAAAAAATACATCGGCTAACAATAGCTACAAATAAATTAGACAGGTGTTGCAATACCCCATTTATGCGGAATGCACTACTGAAGTACTAACCAAACATGCCAAACAACGAAACATGTCTT